TTCCCTCTATCCCTCCAGCTCTTGTCAACCACTAATCTATTTTCTGTCTCTATGGATTTGCCTATTCTGGACATTTTGCATAAATGAAATTTTAAGTATGTGGCCTTTTCTATCTGGCTTCTTTCACATAGCATAATGTTTTTAAAGATCTATACATGTACCATATATCAATATTTCATTCCTTTTTTTATTAATAATATTCTATGGTATGGATATACCATATGTTGTTTATCCATTCATCAATTGATGGACATTGGAGTTGTGTCCACTTTTCAGCTGCTATGAATAATGCTAATATAAAAGCTCATGTGCACATTTTTATTTAGACATACATTTTTAATTCTCTGGAGTATGTACCTAGGAGTAGAATTGCTAGGTCATATGTTAACTCTGTATTTACCTTTTTGAGGAACTTCCAAAGTATTTTCTGAAGCAGGCACACTATTTTACAATCTACCAGCAACATATGAAGGTTCTAATTTTTCCACATCCTTACAAACACTTGTTATTCTTTTTTTATTATAGCTATCCTAGTAGGTATACAATAGTATCTCCTTATCTTTTGCATTGCATTTCCCCAATGATTAATAATACTGAGCATCTTTTCATCATGTGCTAATTAGCCAGTTGCACGTTTTCTTTGTAGAAATGTCTACATAAATCCTTTTCCCATTGTAAAATTGAATTTTTTAATTATTATTATATATTCTGGATACAAGTTCCTTATGATTTGTAAATATTTTCTTTGTGTCTGTGGATATTCTTTTCAATTTTTTGATAGTGTCTTTCAAAGAACAGAAGTTTTGGATTTTGATGAATTCCACTTTTTCTAATTTTTCTTTTTTCACTGTGCTTTTGGTATCAAATCTAAAAAAACCATTGCAGTCTACGGCCATGCCACCCTGAAAGTGCCCGATCTTGTCTGATCTCAGAAGCTAAGCAGGGTTGGCCTGGTTAGTACTTGGATGGGAGACCACCCTGGAATACCAGGTGCTTTATTTTATTTAAAAACAAACAAACAAATAAAAAATAAAAAAATAACATTGCCTAATACAAATTTGAAAATTTACCTTTGATTTCTTCTAAGAGTTTTATAGTTTTAGCTGTTAAATTTAAGTCTTTTATCTGTTTTTAGTTTTTAGATAGTTTGTGAGGTAGGAGTCCGTCTTCATCTTTTGCATATGAATAACAACTTGTCCCAGCATCATTTGTTAAAAGACTATTCTTTCACCATTCTTTTGGCATTTCTGAATTAACCATATGCAAAGATTTATTTCTGTATTCTTGATTTGATACTGTTGATCTATGTCTAGCCTTAAATCAGAACTATATAGTCAAAGAATCAGCTTTTGGTTTCATTGAGTCTTCTCTAATGCTTTCCTATTTTCTTTCATTTTATTTCTACTCTAATCTTTATTATTTCCTTTCTTCTACTTGTGTTAGGTTTAATTTGCTTTTCTTTTTCCAGTGTCTTTAGGTGGAAGGTTAAGTTATTCATATGAGATATTTATTTTTTAATAGTATGTATAGCTATAAATACAGCTTTAGCTGCACCTCATAGGTTTCAATATTTTGTGTCTTCATCTTCAGTCATTTCAAAGTACAAATTCTCCTTCGGATTTCTTCTTTAACCCATTCATTATTTAAGATTGTTTAATTTAACTTCCACATGTTTGTGAGTTTCCCAAATTTCTTTGTTATTAATTTCTAAGTTCATCCATTGTGGTTGCAGAATTTACTTTGTATTATTTCTAACCTGTAAAATTTATGAAGTTTTTTTTTTTTTACAGCTTAGCATAAGATCTATTCTGGAAAGTGTTCCATGTCACTTCAGAAGAATGTATTTTCTATTGTTGGAGTATTCTATGTTTGTTGGTTTCTGTTGTTATTCAAATCCTCTATTTCCTTGTTTATCTTTTGTCTAGTTCTATCCATTATTTAAAGTTGGATGTTTGTCTTCAACTATTACTGTTTAATCGTCTATTTCTCCCTTTATTTCTGGCAGGTTTTGCTTCATGTATTTTGAAGTCTGTTCTTAAATATATACGTGTTTATAATTATTATAACTTAATTGACTCTCTTATCATTATAAAATGTCCTTGTCTCTAGCAGCAATTTTTGTCTTAAAGGCCATTTTGTCTGATATCAGAATAGCCACTGCGGCTCTTTTGGTTGCGGCTCTTTGGTTTACATTATGTATCTTTTTTCCCCTTTTACTTTCAACTTAATTGTATCTTTGAATTTTTTATCTTCTCCTATGCTTGCAGAATTTTTTTTCTCCCATGCTTGAAGAATACTCTTTTTAAAATTTGCTCTTACAATCTCTGACTTTTGATTGAAATGTTTCGACCATTCACTTTTTGTAAATCTATTTACATGTTGTTATTGTTATAATAGATTTACATCTGCCATTTTACTTATTTCTATATATCTCAAGCTTTTTGCTCTATTCTTCTACTATCATTGCATTAAGTGATTATTTTATACTGTAGCATTTTAATTTAATAATTTTTCACCATTTTTTGAGTTATTTGATTAGTGGTTGCTCTAGGACTCATCATGTACATCTTAACTTACCAGAAACAGCTTCAGGTTTATACTAACTTAATTCCAGTGAGTTATAGAAACATTACTCCTATCTAGCTCAATTGCCTTTCTCCCCTTTTTGTGGCGTTGTTATACATATTATGTTACAAATCCCAAATACAGTGTTATAATTATTACTTCACATAATTTTTGTCTTTTATAGAAGGTAAGAGAAGACAGTGATTATATTTTTATAAGTTTATAATATTCTTATTATTTCTGGCTTTATTTGTTCTTGTGGATTCAAATTACCATCTGGAGTCATTTCCTTAGCCCAATACAGCTTTATTCCCATTCACCTACCTCCTTTGTGCTGTTTTAAGAAACTGCACTTCTAAATGTTATAGGCCCAAGAATACATTATGCACATCGCTTTATAAAACTTTTTAAAAGAAAAATGGACTTTTACTGTCTTTTATAATTACTTTTACCATTGCTGTTTGATTTTGTGTGTGTCTATGAGTGTGAGACTTCAAATGACTGACTGGGGTCACTTGCTTTCAGCCTGAAAAACTTCCTTTAGTATTTCTTGTAAGGTGAGTCTGCCAGCAACAAATTCTCTTATCTGCTTATTTGCAAATGTCTTTATTGCACCTTCATTTTTTGAAAGATAGCTTTGCTGGATACAAAATTCTTGTGGCAGGTTCCCCTCTACCGCTTTGAGCATTTTGAATGTGTTCTCCCTCTACTGTCAGGTCTCCATTGTTTCTGTTGAGAAATCAGTTGTTTATCTTATTAGGGAGCTCTTGTGAGTGGTGAGTTTTCCCTTACTGTTTTCAAGATTTTTCTCCTTGTCTTTGTCTTTCAGCATTTTTTGTATGATTCATTTATTTGTAGGTCTCTTCCATATATTCTATTTGGAGTTAAATGAGCTTCCTAGAGGAACAGATTAATGTTTCTGGGTAAATTTGGAAACTTTTCAGCCATTATTTCTTCAAATACTATTTCTGCTCCTTTCTTTCTCAATTTTTGATTCTCCCACCATGCATATACTGATATGCTTAATAGTTTCCCATTTTCCTGAGGTTCTGTTCATTCTTTTTTCTCCCTGTTCTTTGGATTGCATAACCTCTATTGATCTATATTCAAATTTGCTAACTCTTTCTTGTGCAAGTTCAAATTTAATACTGAACTCAACTAGTGAATTTTTCATTTCAGTAGTATTTTTCATTTCCAGAATTTCCATTTGGTTCCTTTTCTTTACAATTTCTATCTCTTTGTTTATATTATCTATTTGACAATTGTCTTAATTTCTTTAACTCATTAATCATGGTTTCTTTTAGTTCTTTGAACATAATTATAATGGCTACTTTGAAGTCTTGGTCTGTTAAATCTGATATCTGGTCACTCTCGTAGACAGCTACTATTGCCTGCTTTTCTCCCCCAGTGAATGTATTATATTTTCCTCTTCCTCTGTATGTCCTGTAATTTTTTGTTGGAAACTGGACATTTTAGATAACATACTGTAACAACTCTGAGTACTGATCCATCTCCTCTCCCCCTGGGCTTGTTATTGTTATTTGCTTGTTTACTTGTTTCATGACTGACTGGATTATTTTACTGAAATCTGCTTCCCCTTTTCTTCCATAATTTGTATTAAACCAAATATGAAGGGTTGTATTCAGTCCTGAATACCACATTTGAAGAATATTGACAAAATAAAACACATACAAAGCTTCTAGAATAGGGAGAGCTTCAAAATGCCATAGACGAAAAGGCTAAGGGAACTGAGGGCATTTTATATGAAGTTGATCAGACTAATGGGACAGAAAGGACACGGAGTTGCTGACTTCAAGTTCTAAAGCACTATTTTGGTACAGCCAGCCAAAGAGAGGGAGGTAGAGGTCACAGAACTTAGACAAACAGGTAGACATTATAGGAAATACAAGGAAGAATTTTTCAGAGAAGAAATTCAACTATGGCATATACTATCTTATAAAATAATGGTTTCCATTTTTAAGCAGAAGTTTTCAACCTGTCACAAATGTATTCCTTGTTTGGGAGGGGAGGTTTGAGATGATCACATTTTCTGTGATACTCAAAAACCCCTGGTCTTGAATGTAGCCATTTTAATATAATGCAAAGCACTTTACATGCCTATAAACATATATTATAAATAAACTATTCATTTCTAGAAAAATGTTTATAAAGAAACCTTCTTTAACATTTCCCTAGCAAAGAGTTGCTTTGAGATGGCTATTTAAAGATATTTTCTGATTAGTCTCATATCTGGTAGATGACTATATAAACCACTGGGAGAAAGAATTACTTTGAACTTCTACATTCTTTCATGTACTTGCTTTAAAATATTAGAATAAAGTAATTCATTTTTAAGAGTTCCTCAGTTCTTACAAAAGATTTTTTCTTTTTACGAAAGATTTTTTTAAATAAAATAATTGAGATCCAGAACTCACCAGAAGAAATCTTACCAGCACCTTTATAGTCAACAGAAAATGCAGATGTGACTCCATTGGCTGGCCCCAGTTCACGCATGGAAATTTGATAAGGGGGCCTCAGCTTGATTTCCGTCTGCATGTCAGACAGATTTATCTTTGTTGAAAGAGACCTAGGATTATTATATCGCTGCTTGGTCCTCTGAATGAAGTTATCTATGTAAAATAAAAAATAAATTTCCTTGCAGTCATTTGTTAATTAAATAATTTGAGAGTGTGATGTTTATGGACAGTAAATTTTGCAGATAAACTGTTTAATTTATTATGCAAAACTGTTCAATTTGTCATGGAGTATTCTAATATTATCTGTGTTTAATGGTTAATATATCATGAAGTCATCAGTTTCACACTCTAAAAATAATTGTAAATAAACTAAGGATTTAACACTACAAGACTGAGAATATTCCTACTATTATATCCACTTCAAGGAATTACTTTGAACTTTTAAAACAAAACAATACCAGCTTTAATCTTTACATTGAAACCTTAATTTTTATATGGATTCATATTTTATAAAATATTGTCAGTATTTATCAGTTTTAATTACATAAGAACATACACTAAATTGCATGTTCTTATAAAACTGTTCTCTTATTTATTGTTTACATTAGGATGTATATTTTAAGAATAAGTTTAATGCAATAAATAAAAGGTACTTCCTAAATAACTTCTAAGATATTTTCTAAAGAATCTTCCATTTTATTTTCACTATTTATAACTTAGTTTTACTTTTTTTCCCCTCTCACATCAAGAGTCAAGCAATCTAATGCCTAGAGGCCAAATCTAGCCTGCTGACTGTTTTTGTAAATAAAGTTTTATTAGACTATAACTACACTATGGCTGCTTTCCAGCTATAATGGCAGACTGAGTAGTTGTAACAGAGACCATATGGTCCTTAAAGCCTAAAATATGTACTATATGGTCCTTTCTAGCAAATGTTTGCCAACCTTTGCTCTAGAATAAGCAGACTATAAAAGATTATCACATAAACACAAAATTCTGAATCTCTGGTTTATAAATTCCTCATTGAGAAACATTAATCCTCCGGGATTAATTCTTTGGGCCAATAATCATAATCCCCTCCACAATTCAAACACAATTTTTTCTAATAGACACCTAAATGAAAATGTTGCCATAATTTACAGACCATTTGTCAAATTATTCTATCAAAAGCAAGACAGCAGAATTTTCTGAGTTTCCTCTGTGCCCCAACCCCAGTATTAGATGAAAAATCGCTTGTGACTGGCTAAAGACAGAATAATGAATAGGAAAAAAGTCAGGCCCTTACCAAATTCCATGAAACAGTACGGCCTGACAGCAGCGTCTATCTTCATCAGGTTGTACGTAGTGATGAACTCCTTCTGAAGCTCGTCCAGGAGAGAGAAGGCCAGAACATCTGGATAACTTTCAGTGCACAACATCAGGTAGCTCACCCCCAGGGAGCTAATCAAACTACAGAGTAAAAACAGAGTTTTAAAATTTCAGAGTGAAACAGGGTGATTTGTTGCTACACATGACTGGTTCTACACACCATAAACTGCTGCTACAGTGGCAATGAAGATAATGACATTATATATTCTGGGAAAAATCTAAAGAAACCAAAATATAATACTATTTTCAAGTGTGGTTTAAAAACAGTAGACAAAAAAAATAGAATGTACCTACAGAGGAACACATCAGTTATTTATCACTTGGGGTAGAAAGCAGAGGAATAAAATATATAAAGATTATAGATAGCTTAACATTTAACCTTTCAACCTAGTGGAACTTAATTCTGTTTAAATCAAGAACTCTAGAGATGTTGATAAAAGTCATGGAACTCTCCCTGGAAATATGTCCAAACAACACAGAACTTGGCACACAATTTCGGGGTGGTTACTGATCTCCTGAAGTCATCCACAAAACTCAGACTCAAATTCTCTACTTTGCACAGTAATAAATTATGAACCACTGAGGAAAAAGGGAGAAATTTATGAGTTCATAACAACAACAAACAAAAGAGGCAGAAAGGAAGACACTTTTTACAGAAGAATGCCTAGTGCCAACTGGTAAATGTGGAGATAGTACCAGAGTATTAAAAATCAGCATTTTGCAACCAACATAGTAAAGACTGGATTAAGCAAGGACAAACAAGAGATGCTAAGTCTAGGTGAGAAGGAGGAAATTTTGCATGGTTTTAAAATGTCTTCCCGTGGATTGCTTATTGGTTGCGAAGGAAAAATATTTATTATATAGTAGAAACTAGAGAAGACCCTGACCAAGTATTCTAACATCACTATGAAGGGCAAATGGACTTCCTGTGCCTCCAGTTGTGACATTCTCAGAAAGACAAATCAGCTATATAGTATTCTGGCCAAGAATACATAATCTGAATCTAAACATGAAGAAACACCAATGATCAACATTCTATTTATAAAAGGGACAGGGGCTGTGTTAAAAATCTCAGTGTTGCAAAAAAGACTAGAAATGTTTCTGAACAAAGGAGCCTAAAAAGACACAACTAGATGAAATACCTAATCCTAGTCTAGGTCATGTGCTAGAAAGAGAAAAAAAAAAAAATGCTATAAACGACATTCCTGGGTCAATTGACAAAAATGAGAAACAGGCAGCAGATCAGAAAAAAGTATGGTATCTGTATTAAACTTACTAGAGCTGATAAGTGCACTATAGTTAAGAGAATATCCCTAATTTTAGAAAATATACTTTGAAGGAGTTAGGAATAAAGGGACATGGTATTTGTAAATTTCTCTCAATTGGTTCAGAAAAAAATCAGTCAGATATAGGTTGATAGGTAAAATGATAAAGCAAATGGGGTAAAATACAAAAGGTAAATCTGAGAATAGGTATTATTTGTATTTTTCCTATTTTTACAACTTTTCTGTAAGTTTTAAATTATTTCTAAATAACAGGTTAAAATTTTAAAACAAAAAAATGTCTACTTTAAGCACTGAAATGTTTAACCATGTTTTGTTGAAAAAGAAAAAGGTTTTTTAGAATAAAGTAGATATCCTCCCCCCATTATAAGCACAGCGTGGGAAACAAATTCACCCTTCTCAATGAGTTACTTACACATTCTTTTATAGTACTGTCAACATAGCTGGTCTAGATCAATGGCAGCAAACAGACCATATAGGCTATAACTCCTATCTATCACAGCAATCTTTGCCAAACTCTAGTCCATATTGCAGTCTCTTTCCCCCTTTTTGCTCTAATGATGAAGAAGCAAAATTTATTAATTGTAATTTAATTTTTAGTATATATTCACAATTCAAATGTTAAAAGAATGAAAAACGAAACACTGTACTTAAAGTGTCTTATCCTCACCTCTGCCCAAAGATACCCAGTTCTCTGTCCCTCAAGCAACTCACGTTATTAATTTCTTGTGTATCCTTGCAGTGAGTTTATGCATATACGTGCATATTTATCTATCCATCCATCTATCTATCACCCTGCTTTCCTCCCTATTTCCCTCTTTAAAGACCACCCCAGGCAGCCAAATGATGTGAGGTTGGCACATATTAATTATCTCTTAAAATCATACTGATCTTATGCTTCTAGAATATCTTGTAATTCCTTTCTGAAGTCCTTTCTGACTATGTACTTAGTACATAGTCATTTGATGCAATGTTTTTTAAACTACGAGTTGTAACTCATTAGGTTGTAAAATTAGTCTAGTGAATTATACATAGCATTTTCCTAAAAATTCAAATAGAATATAACAGAAAATATTGGAATGTATATTGTGTCATAAAACATTTGTTTCAGTTTCCTATTTGTACATAGGTGGTGTTCACAAATAAAATGTTTCTCTTATGGATCATAGTCAAAAAAGTTTAGCTATAACATTGCATTTTTCTATAAAATTAATAACTAAATTAAAGGCCAAAGTATGTTTTTCTACAAGTAATTTTACCATTTCAAAAAAAATCTTTACTATCATCAAAATTCTGACATGTTATTAAGCATTTAAATATACTGGACAATAATTTGAACTGGGATAGAATGCAACTGGTGATTGTCTTCCACACACTAGAAACTCCCAAATGGCTAACTATTTAGCCATTTGGGAGTGAAGCTTTTGGACTCCATTTTTTGTATTATGGCAGGGTTTTACTGTATTTCCATATTAATAATAGAGTGAACGACAGACACCTACATGACAGTTTATCCTAAATGGTTTCTCTTTGCTTTCACTAAATTTAACTAGAGAATTATATGTGAAGTAAAGGAAGCTTTCTAAGATTGTATGTTAGTATCTTCACGGAGTCTATTATAATTGTACTGGAAAGGCTATAATGTATTCTATAATATTATGGCTTTTCATAGTGAATTTAGCTGTCTTTCTTAGAAATGCAAAGCCAGTTTTCCAAAAGTATATAGCTCAGTTGATTTACTTTTGTTATCAAAAAACGTCTGGTTTTTCAAGTCTTACTGAGACAGATCAAAAGACTCCCACCATTCCACTGAGGACTATTTATATGAGATAGTCTAAAGTCACTACCTGCATGCCAGTTTATGCATGCTTTAGCCTATCTATTTAGGTTCATTTAGCTCATATTTTATACACAATCTAATTGTTGTCCTTTTGTCTTGAGGAGGAGTACGAGAAGTAGTAGTAATATTAACAGTGGCAGGCACAGTTTGCTGACCACTTAGTATGAACCAGGCCCCTTTACTAAGTGCTTTACATGTTATTTAATTTCATTCTCACAATAAAGGTACACTGCTACCTTCCATTTTACAGATAAAGGACCAGAGGCTCAGGGGGGCTTAGTAACTGACCCAACACACCATTTAGAAGCAGAGCCGGGACAAACTTAGTTCTAAGTCCAAAGCCAATATTCATTCCACAACCCAACACCAGTTTCATATGGTACAGATAAACCAATTATGTCCTAATTCATCAACATTTTTTCAGTTTTTCCAAGCTACAAATCAATCTCTATTTTTTCCCTCAATTAAGAGTAATGAAACTTAAGAGTTTTGGAACTTGTATCAGAAGGATATTTGGGAAGCTCTGCCATTTCTCCACTTCATCCTGTGCAACCATACTCCTTCCTCTCTGCACTGCAGCCACACTAGTCTTGTTTCAGATCCTCAAGGATACCAATCCACTCCAGTCTTCCAACTTCCAATTTGACAAGCTTCACGAATTCTGTCTTCCCACTTGCAGTGTCCCCAACCCCACCACTACCATGCTCCTGTTCTCATCTGGTTAACTCCTACTCATCTTTCAGTTCTCGGACTTAAAGTGTCTCCTAGAGCACACAATTTAAATTGATCTCACACTTATAGTTATATCATAGTAGCTGTTATTTTTCTCCATGTACCTAACTCAATTTGTAATATATTTATGTATTTATGCATTTATTTGTTGTAATGTCTTTCTCACTAACACCTATCTTCTATGACAGCAGGGATTTTTCTATAATTCACCACTATATTCTTAGCACCTAAAATATTTTGTGTCTAGGATAAAAAAAAAGTGCTCAATAAGCTGAATGAGTACAAAGATGGTATCACTCACTCATTTATACACTAATTTGTTGGGTATTTTGTGCACAGATAATTGTACAGCCTCGTGGTATTTATTGAGCAGAAGCTCAATAAATACTTGACTAAATGACAGAGGAGAGTAGAACTTCACTTGCTCTTCCAGGGTGCCCAGAAAGCTTCAGGTCAGTTAGCCTTTAACATCCGCCCCTATACTTTGAAGAGAGGGAAGTTCTCAGGGGCCATGTAGAATTACTCATCTCTGCAGTGAGTAGCTAAGATGGATATACAGGTCTAACCGGTGTGCCTGCTCTCTTCTACAACACAGTCATTATTAACCCTCATACACACAAAAAGTCCTCTTTTCTCCATCTTGAGCACAATTTTTAAATTGCCATTGTTTCTTCCTACTCTGCTCTAATTCCAATTTTGGTCTTTGGTACCATTGAGGTTTGGTCTTTATAGCTACTCCCTTCCTTCTGGCCAAGGAATTTATCCAATCTCATTTTATCTTTGGTTTCTCTCCACAGCACACACACTAGGAACTTCTTTAGGGCCTTCCAGGATCAAGTGTGTCTTGAACAGATAAGGCTAGCAGACATTCAAATTCCAGATAAGGGGAATTTAACCCTTTCAATCACTTTGTTAAAAAGCTCATTCTATCATGTATCCAAGCAGAATACCTCAGGTGATTCCTAAAGCCAACGAAATTAATAAATAGTTTTAAAAATTAAACTTTTTCTGGCATCTAATTTTATTTCAGAACTGTCAAAGAAATTTTACATATCACCAATTAAACACTGACATTATTAAGATAATTCTGACCTGCTGCACCAAACTAAATAATTAATGAAAGCAATGATCTTCCCCTCAGCAAATAATAGAGCACCTAGCACATGCCAAGCATTCTACTCTATAGACTCTGATGTCAAAGACAAAATCCTTGACTGCCAGCCGCT